GTGTACAACAAAAAAACTAAGTGAAGAAAATTTAAGTTTATTATGCGCCTCCTGGTTGTTCCGATGTGAGCTGCTATAAGCCGAAATGTAAAATAGGTAATTGCGAAGCAGGTGCCTTCTTAGTCACTCTATTTAATAATAAAAATATTTCCTGCAACAAAACAGAACATGGATATTATATAATATTATCAATAACAATACTTAAAAAGTAATCGACAGAGCCTTTTAAGAATTATTTGAATTCACCTTAGCAATAAAATTACCCAATCTCTTTATCATGTTATAATATGTCGTAGAAATAGATCTTGAACAGCCTACGATTCGGTAGATTACAGAATATCTCAAACTGTCTCCAATAAAACGCGTACGCTACGGAGCAATACTATATAGAAAAATACCTAAATATATTTAATCGCGATTATAATTATTTCAACAAGCACGAAACGACAATGTGTCGCGTGTGGTAATTCAATTTTTATATAAACATAGTGGTTTACGTTTTAAACGAAATTATGTGTCAATTCTTAGTAAAATGACGTTATACTCTCATATACGAGAAACGCTTTTTAGCGTTTTTTTTTTATTGAGCATTGATGGCCGTTAAATATGCAAATATATGTGTAGAAAACTGCCTTATCTCTCAAAAATGTCAACATCAAAATATCGAAAAAAAAAAAAAATCAATAGATTAATCAAGTTCGATTGAAACTGATCGAAATCATGGTTCGGTAGGGCTGAATAAGACGCTCTGAATAGTATAGCAGGACAGTAGTGAATCCGAGTTATGCACGTAAGTACCTTTGTATTTTGGGCCGCTGGGTAATTTATCTGCCTAGCTGGTCCTGCGCTCTTCGGGAGCGCGGAAGGAGTGCGTGAATTTAGCAAACGCTGCTTGACGCTGCCGGATGCATAGGTAGAGATGAATGATTCGACAACAAATCTACATACGACAAAGTTATTGTAAGGACATAACTTATAGGCATAGGTTGCTAAGAAACTTTGTTTTGAAATTTTCAGACAAAGTTTGCGAGTTTCCGAATGTTAAGGCCGAATATAGCTGACATATAATATATTATCCAAATGAAAGAGCACTGCAAATATTAAAAGGTTAGCTAATTTCACAACGTTTCAATAGAAAACAGAGTTATAACTGTCATCTACGATTAATAGTAACCCCGAGGATGTGTTATGGTCACCGGGGCCAATATGATCTGGGTGCTGTTGTACTGCGTAGTAGAGTTTAGAGTTGTCAACATCAACAAGATTCAAGGGCAGCTATAATTCGTAACAAAAATACCAGATAGGGTTCAACAGAGCGAGCAATACACTCACTATTTGTTGGGTCCTAAATCATCCGTGACAGCAATCGGTAAAGTCAAAAAGGTCATCTAAAATAGCAGACAAGATTTGATACACTTTCGCAGCTTATGCTCCCGTGGCCTCTTTAGGTATAGTTTCGTTACGTCTTTTAGCTAATTTTTTTTGCTTGTACCGTATTAATGCGCTGCAGAAACAGTTCCGGGGTTATCCGCACGATGGCTTCACGCATTGCGTCATTTGGAAAGTACTAAAATTATCCCGTTATTGAGATTGTACACGATGGGCGATAGAAAGCGAGTATTCAGTTAGCGATATTTTGCATAAAATAGACGGCTTCTGCAGGAGACCGCCAGCGGCTAAATTAGGTCTGTTAGTTGGTTTGGCGGGGAATTGTCTCATTTGATCATTGGGGCAATTTTATGCGAGGTATCGGATTAATCCGGAAAAGTTCGAAAAAGATCAATCAAGAATCAACGCGAATCTCGTAAAGCAATTTTTGCTTTACGAGATCCGCGTTAACATTAGTTTATTACAATAAAATTAGCATCCAAGTATATAATGGTATATATGGAAAAAAATCGACTGGAATGCAAGATTTCAGAGGACCATGTTTGCTATAATCAGGGAATACGATTTAATAGATTTTGACCACTCCAAGTCTCGAAACTAAAAAATGCCAATATTTATTGAATAAATTTAGGATTAATAAGAATTTGCTACGTACCTCTCTGAGATGAGATTTCCTTAGTTGATATTGATGTGTAAAAAATCGTCTCATAGAGGCAAAATAACAGTGACTATGCACAATAAATTTGGGCTTCAACGAGAATTTTTGCTACTCGTCGGCTCTGCACTAATTGATTCCATCGGCCATCTAACTATAGAGGTTACCAGACGGACCCGCGGGGTTTTGCAGTTGATTGAACTAATTTAATATTTATTGATATTACACCAACGCCTAATAAAAACTAGTCAAAGACAAGTTATCATTTACTGGCTCGTCTAACCCGTTATTCTTTTTGCAGTTATTTAATCAGCTTGTTCCAACATGTTCATCAAAGCGGCCAACCAGCTTCGGATTTGTCTCACTTGTAATATCCTGTCCTTTGATTCATTTCTACAACGTTATTTTGTCTTTTTTTTTTTAGTGTAACTTAATTGACTTTGTTTTCGAGAAATGACCCAAATCTTTTTTCAATCCTCTTATAATATTTAAATATATATATTCTAATTTATTTCGTTTATACGTTTCGTGCAATGTGCTAATTTTGTTCCTGGGACGTCACCTAAACTTGAAGATTTGCTTCACTTTTTCTTATTTTCTTTAACATCTTAGAATTTCCTCTGAAAATTAATTCAAGAAAATCAACTATACGTTAGCCGTTTGCATACGTATATTATAAATCCACCTAAATAACGACCTGGGACGCGCTTTCTCTCCATCGTTGTATAAAAGCACCGATACGAGTAATAGATTTTAACAATATCCACTCAAAAATATCAATATTAGATGTAGATACGTGTGTTGCATTTTTATTTAGCTGGCCGAGGTCTATCGATTGACGTCAAGAAAAACTTCCATGGTAAGTTTTCACCTTTTAAACGGCATTTTTAACCTGAAAACTGCTACTTAGGTATATGAACATGAATTGAATTTCGATTCAGTTTATACAGAGCCTTTAGTATTAAATCGGTACCAAGGAGTGCTCCTTTTACATAGAAGTCTATGTAAAAACCTTCATCCCAGTGTTGCACAAGCGAAAAAACTGCCATATTCAGTTTTGGCCTTTTTTCAGGCTTTAGCTATAAAAAGGATGAATCACAGTTTGGTTCAACTCGACAAAGTCTATCAATTGGTGTAAAGAATTGGCTTCAAAAGAACTAGAAACTATGTATATGAAGAATGTTTTCAAGATTTCGATCCAAGGAATATTTTCGAAAAAAAAAAAATGAAGAACTATAATACTAGTTATTTAAGACTCTACAACTTTTCGAAGTTGGCACAATTCAAAGGTGGCTGGAAACATATTTTACCATACTGTTACGCAGGTAAACAGTGAGTTTTTGACCTTTTTTGTACCGGAACAATCATTTTACTATAGGGACGTGTAATGCATCTTGATTTGTCCTGACAAAAGCTTTCGGTAAGTATCGAGAAGAACCCCCCATTACATAGATTTCGGCATAAATATTCGACTGCCATTTTAACAATAGAAAACATCTTTGGACGAAAATGTAGGTGTTCTTGGCCTTTACAATTTATGGACACGTAGAAAAAGATCCTTCGAGAAGACGCCGAAGAGGAGCGATTGTGAAAGGTGAACGATTTGTCTAAATTAACATCATCTTCTATCAAATGGAAACTATTCTCTCCGGAGAACGAGATAAATAGATCGATAGCTAACACAGTTCAGTTTAATTTCTAGAAATAAATAGCGTTACTTATTTCGATAAAAAAACTTTTATAAGAATTGATAAATATAAGACCTATATCGGAGTTGTTCCTTAAAATTGGACAGTATACAATGAGGACCACGTGAGAAAAATCAAAGGAAATACCTGGAGTAAAAAAAGGAAGTGGAACGATGCGGAAGATGCGATTTTTGTGAAAATTTCATATGGCTGTTGTAATTTTGGATAAAACATAACGTTCTTACAGCTATTTTTTACTACTCTTTTTCCTTTATAATCGACTTTATAATTTATAAAACACACAAACGAATTAAAATTAGATGGAAGATTACGCGTGAAAACATTGATCAAACTCTGATAGAATTGCGTAGTTTTCTGCAGTAAGAGTATCTCATATCGATTTTTTCGTATTGGCATATATATCAAATTTTGCTTCAGGTGAAAGGAACTTGTGACATCCAAATATCTTGCAGTTAATATACTACTAATATAATTGAAGTTATTAAGTAAGGCCATCACAAAAATGAATCTCGCATCATTTAAAAGATCGATAGTAATTTATGCGTCTCATGTAGTAGTGCAAAGATTTCGGAAAATCAAGATACGATCATGTACGTCCCTAATTAGTTCACTTAATTATACAGTGGTAATGTATTCGCCAAAAAAGCTTAAGGTCATATGGGACTCTCTAGATATATAATCTGGTCCATATATACTTCTTTTCGGCCGACTACCTGCAGCAACACAACAAATTTATTTTAGGCTCCTGCTTAGTATTGTTATACTATGTAGCAATATTTGGTGGATTTTTTGGAGAGAGAAGGTCTTATTTACCTTCATATAAAAATAAGCAAAAAACGATTAATTAAAAAAGCGTATTCGTTATTCATAGAGGGTATGTAAACATTGAAAAAACTAATCGATTATACAAGAACTCTGGTCCGACAGAGGATGGCATTACCACCTACTTGTACTTGTACAGCACGACCTTCTTTTTTAGGATAAGGCAATTACGGTATTGCTCGTATGTTATTTGTCATCACTATCCATCACTATGCCCTGATCAGAACCATTGTTTACTCGTTAGCAGAAAGATCATAAAAATGGGACTACATATATCTGGATTCGCTATGTTCAGTTGATATTTTAATTTAACTGTTTCATTCTTACTAAGTAGCACTTACTTGCTAAAATATAATTTTCAAAATCATAATATCGTTGTGCTTGACAAATGTGTAACGTTTTTTTTTTTATTTTTAACTCGCAACTGGGTCTCAGTCTACATTCGCTGCATATTGACACATTCCAAATCTAAACGATGAAGTATCACTATGGAGGTAATCCAGGAAGTGGCTCACTGCATAACTAAGCCCACTTCGGTGACCCGCCGAAATCTACGAATATAAGTTTATACTGCGGAATATCGGCTCCGACGCGTGTATACACTATATACGATGTTTCTTTCACTCTTGCCTACCTATCTGGCCCATTCCATCGTTGAAATATGGACCTTCGATCTCTGTGTCCCACGTGGACGAGGAGACGTAAAAAACGTATTGTTTAAAATTGTCTGCCTTGTCATCTTTCGTCAACCCATTGACTGGATCGAATAACGGAGTGACGTCGATTTATCGCATAGAAAAAGCCCTGCTTTAAGTAAATAACTTAATCTCAAACAGCTAAATCATATCTTATATTCTTTGAAACGAAATAAATAGTAACCAAAACAATACAAAAAGTATCTTTAAAATGAAAAACTCTGTACCTGAATCATGGGGCTTTTTTAACTCCGCAGATTGTGTGAACACAATGTATCTCATACCTGCGAACAGTCGCTGAGGGCTGCACCCAATGGTCCACAAAGAAACTCGATAGTCATCTTATAGTTTTCACCAAGGCCGTGTAGGTCTTCATATCGTTAAGGAAAGAACTGTTGACTTAAAATATTCCTCAGGCTTTCCATAAAAAGCGGTATAGATACTCCAAAGCGGAACTGCCTAACGTTCTCGCTAAAACAAAACCATAGACGATGAGTTGTGCCGAAAGCCATTAGCTTACGCATCGAAACTTCGCCTTATGGTTTAATATGATAAAATAAAAAGCTACATAATTGCAGTACCCACATATGAATATAGCGTGGCCCTAATGTGTTCTAATGTCCCAATTTGAATCATCCGAAAGCCATATCTTCCAATTTTTACCTAAAGCTATCTACTTATTGTCATATCTCATATAGTAAGTTTTAGTTTTTTGCTCTCAAAGTGTTTCCAAATTAAACTTAGCGATCATCGAATCTGTAGCTGAAGATACATCGACCTGGCACTGGTTTCTGTCAGCTGATCTTGATGATATCCACCGCGTTCGAAAAAAAGCAAAATATAAATGTGAACCGTGAAACACAGGTCCATCCGTTTATTTCTGATTGCAAAAACGCATCTATCAGTGGCAGCTTTCAGAAGACAAACATGAGCAAGCTGATTTCTTTAAAGAGCTGGCTGGTCACCGCCAGCGAAGTTTTGTGGCTATATATATCAACGATGAGCAAGCCACGAAACGATGCTGGTGACAGCGACCGATTCGAAGATAATCTATACCTAGCATATCGACTTCGGTGTAGACCAGGGCAAATGGCATTTTCCGGCACTTACCTCAACAACTGTTAAACAGATACGAAACATCTAAATGTAAAGATTGGATAGTTTTTTCGAGCCCGATTCAGCTACTCTATTGGGATAAAATGCCGATGTCCTTTATTACATTTTCGGGCAAGTAGTCGAGTGTGCGTTTGTATCAGAAAATGGTTCAAAGCCGCCGAAAACTTTATCGGCTTTCATATTAGCCCCCTGCTCACCTCACTGATCGGTTTTCTATCTATGCTCATAGAAAATTCAGGTCCGCTTCATTTTAAGATAAAAGAACAATTGCACGAAACAGCCATTCAACGATACCGCAACGTAATTGACATGGAAATATAAAACCCCTGCCACAAACTTACAAGACTATTAGGACATGTGAAGGAAAACAGCTGAACCATCGCAGCAAGGTAGCTGGTAGTCCTGTGGCGGAAGAGGATGGCAAAGTAATATTACTGAACGATGCGATGCCATTCCGCTAAAGACGCTTTAAGTTGAACTGAGAAAAACGACACGATGATAACACGACGGATAGCCGACGCTGTAGAACGAAAAGCTGATTAGTCTCATGGAAAAAAATACTGAAGTCCACGATCCATTTTGTTCATCGCTTCAAGTGGCCAGATGTTGTATGTCTCCGTTGTACGGTAGCTCTGGCCGTTATGAGACAGATCGACGACCATTCAATCCTTAAACGGACGAGCGGACTAGTTGCTAGATAGAGTGACACAATGTTCAACAGCTACCAAGCTTGCGACTCCATTTGTGATTCATTTTTTTTTAATGCAAATTTATCGGTAAGCAATAATGGCTGATGTGTATGCAGTATTTATGTGTAATAGAAATCGTCGCTATTTATTAACTTGCCATTTATGACTTGAGCGCGTTTCGTATGCGCCTTTTAGTAGTATCACAGAATCTTTGAACAGTATTTCATTCACCTCGAAGGCTTACCATCTAGCTTAGCATCTTTTGTCCTCGTGTAGCGTATTAGGTAATACAGACGGAGTGAACTTCGTTGCTGAAATTCTTGTGACCGTTTCATAGATTTTTTCAAAATCCATCGGAACCTAATGGTATACTTGCTAGCCAGCGATAGCTTTTCTAACACAGTTAAGCGGCAAATTATAGATTTACCAAATTCCCTACGCTAACGTATTTCTAACAACGCAGACATATTCTACGGTTGGACTCTGGATCCCGAACAAGGCAACGTCTTTGAGCCACATCTTCTGAATGCTATTGTCCGCAGTTGCTATTGTTAATCTTGCTGAAAGTCTTCTATATGAACTCGTTATTTATGTACAATGTATACAGCCTTAGTAGAACTAGTTGTTTAATACATTTAATTGCAACTAAAACATATATATCATATCATAATCATCTAGTTGAGCCTTTTCACTTTGATAAAATCTTAAAAATTTACTCTGGAAATGCGGATATTAATATGGGGTCATCTAGTTTGTATTTACAACGAATTTTTTCATAAAATACTTTTCTTGCTTATGTTTATAGGTCGACACTTTCGATGTAATCGCAAGACGAGACGTTGCGGCTTAAAAGCCAAATCAAATATTCATGGTGGTAATTAGTAGATAGTTATCCACTTTTCTATTTCGATGGTACGAGTGTAGTGTACTTCCTGTCTTTTTGCAACCTCCAAGTCGCTGTACAACACTATATGAGTCCGTTTTACCTTTACTAATAACGGCAACGCGCCACATCGAGTGAAATATCCAAAGTATTTATACAAACATCGTTATCTGTTTTTGGCAATGTTTTGCTTTGCCTGCACACTCCTCTTCCTATTCCCACTTATTGTGTTCACGATACCTTTAACGTAGGTCAGCTCTCCGTTTAGCTGGTTACCAAATACGTTTACGTTACTTTGACGCTGTAGGAAAATTGCCGCGCATGCAGCCAACATCTTCTGTTTACAGTGAACTGTTTTAAGAGGAACAAAGAAGCAGGACGATGTCAGGGTTCTGGCAGAGGGCCGACAATGTTCATCGTCATCTAAAAATGAGTGGAATCAATATAGGATTCGTCATTTGGACAGTTGTCGTCACCGCCACCGGACTCTTTCGATGACAGTTGTTGATACGAAGCTGACCCAAAAGACGATACGGTGGCTACTCTTGAGAACGCTTCCTCGTCGTCGTCGTCTCCGCGTTGCTGTGAGGCGAATTCGACGAACACTTGATCGAGCGTAGTCTGCTGGACCGCGAAATCCACTAGCCCCGCCTAAAAGCATAAACGTGGTGAATGACTCATTGCACTGCTAACTGACAAACCCACGTATCTATATTTCAGTTTATCAGGTATATATCCGACTGGCGTGCACACGTTCTGCTCACCTGCCGACTTCGAGGATCTTGCAGCAGTGAAAACAGGGTAGAAAGTGACGCTTCTTTAGAAGACACCGAAATCTGAAGCGATGTTGCGTGCAGCGACTTGACACGACTCGACGGAAACCGCTTCGTTACGTATTGCAGTACCTGTTGCTCGCTGCCGGGCTCGATTCGAAGGGCGAGTGTGTACCCTTGCGAAAACCTAAGACCAAGATGGGTTCAATCAATCTTCAGTTGTATACGCGGAAGGTTGTGCAAACTGAGCGGACCTCAAGACATTGTGCGGTTATAGATACAGCAGAATTACGCAATATGGCAAAGAGATATAGCATGATACGCCTCCTTTTAGAATGTGGGAAACTCACCTATATTTGAGAGCGTCTGGATAGCCAATACAGCGAAGCCTGCCATGAGCCATAATTCCGAGACGATGGCATAATGCGTCACACTCTTCCATACTGTGTGATGTTAACAATACTGATCTGCGAGCAAAAAAGTCTTATCGTTACATTTTCACTTTTCTGTTACTACGCGTGTATGTACGCGTACTGTGGAACTATTCAGTATTTAACAGTCCTACGAAATATATCCATTGTGCAAACAAAGACTTGCCTTCCGGAATCGACGCATTTGTGCACGCTGTTCCATAGCAAACGGCGCGTAACTGGGTCCATGCCCGTAGTGGGTTCATCGAGAAGCACTAGCTGCGGGTCTCCAAGGAATGCCATGGCTGTGCATACTTTCCGCCGGGTACCTCGACTTAGCGCCACGCACGGCCTATCTGCGAAGTCTTGTAAACGGAATATGGTGAGCGCTTTAAGGACAACTTCGTCTACATCAGGGCTTGGTATACCTTTTAGCTGAGCGTAAATGGTAAGCTGCTGTTTTGGAGTAAGTAGGTCGTCGACCGCATCGCTCTGCGGACAATATCCAACGTGGTTATTCAATTCCGCAAGTGTACGGTATGTTCCACTTTTCTCTTTGAGGAAGGCACGTCCCGATGTCGGCTGGATATGACCCGTAAGTATTTTAAAAAGGGTGGTTTTGCCAGCACCGTTCAGCCCTACTAATCCAAAGCAGACGCCTTTTCCAATTCCAAACGAGACATTGTCCACCGCACGTTGAGGCTTGGATAGACCTAAGAGCAAAATCAATATGATATACTTTTTCCTAGAAATATAGAAGCCTCTACGAATACTTAAATATTGTCCTTCTGTGATACATGAGAAGTTATATCCGTTTATGTAAAAAAAAAAATGATAGAAATATTAAACACATTAAGTCGATCGCTTTTCGAGAAAGACCGCTAAACTCACCGAAAGACTTGTAATCTTTACTGAGATTAACCAGTGATAAAATGTCTTCGCCTATGGCCGATATAACTCGTTTACGTTCCATGATCACATCGGCGTCCTCGTCTTGAGGGAGGACGAGCTCGTTCCGTCGGCGAAATCTCGCCATTGAGAAAACGTTACAATCAATCAGGACGTTGATACCGAAACATACAATTCCAACAGCCAACATCATCCAGTAATTCGCCGAAAGAAGGTGGAGGGGATCTTCATAGACGTCTTGGTCGAATATGTCATAGATGTCAGCGGTAATATGGTTCTTGAAGAGTACAAGAATGCCCTGAATAAACGCGTATTGTGGAACGCAGAGACCCAATAAGTGGGCGACGTCGAAGGTAGTGGCTTGGCACAGAAGAAGCACGAGGAAAATTGACAGTCCAAAGAACAGGTTCAGGCAGTATGTAACCTGTTGAATGTTAAGGAAGAAATTACACTAGGTGTTCGTACATACAGAGTTGACGTAAGGTAGCGCGAGCATACTATCTATATCATTGATGCACTATTGCGCAGCATTTGTACTAACTAGATGTACAATGAAGGTTAACGTATGGGCTAGGTAAACTATATGCCCACAATGATACTAAACTCCCTCTACAGAACGTCCCTGTCACCCGTTCCAGTATACACACCATAAATGCGATCGAGGGTTCGTTGAATAGATGTGAGGCAATCTGAGTAAGTGGCAATGAAGAGAATCCGAATAGGAAAAGCAGCAGTATAAAGGCTGCAAAATTCGAACGACCGACGTAGATTGGGATAGCAAACATCTGAATGACGATTGTACACAGTGCAATACATATCAGCAAAACAATCAGATCCCACAGATACACCGATACCCAGTATGTTGGTTTGGCGACACCCGAACAGTGTTGCACCGTTTTTTCCTCTCGGGCACGCTCTTGAACGACGTAGATGACGGCTGACGCAGGAATGAAGCCCAATCCGACAAGGATGACCAATGCAACGCCCAGATCGGCTAGTCTACTCAGGCTGCAATGTTTATCACCTTATTAGTTGCTACGGGAGATACGCCCTTGAAACATCCTATCAATGCACCAATACATTACGACTCAAGTTCGCGAAGGGTATGTCAAACATGTGGATTTATGAAACGGTGCCAGGCACATTTTCGGTTTTGATAAATTAGCTGATCCTAGCTCCTCAAGCAAAATGTCAAAAGAAGATCCAACGTTCATACTCACAATGTCTCCCGACCAAGTTGTTCTTGGGTAAGATGAAGCGGATGGTTAGACACGCGTATGGTATAATTGTTGTAGTGTTTTCTTAGAAACGCGTTTGTTATTTGGTTTTGATAGATTGGCAATGCGTGATGGGCAGTATTGTCATACCAAATCTTTATGTGTTCCCGGTTTAGCGACCAGCCTCCGTACCGTTTGTCGGCAAATTCTGCATAGGTAGCTAAAAGGTAGTCAGTAAGTTCCACCTTAGAAGGATCAAGGGCGAACAGTACTTGCGAACTGTTAAAAGCGTCAAACGTGTTAATGGAACTCCAATCTAAGGTCTTCCAGGCCCAATCCACAGCGGGGCAGAAACCATCTTGTGGCAATACATTCATGCGACCATCAAGCCGTACTATGTTCTCCCCAAGAAGTTCCTTCATGAGAGGCAGTCCTGCCTGACCGCTGAGTACCGATAAGGCCGGCCTGCCGTACAAATTCATATGCAGCTCAAGCGAGGGTTCTTTGATGTTGTCTGGCTTCAAGGAGGTGATACCCATGGCCAACGCAATGAACAGACACGGCATTACTACAGACGAAAACAACACTTTCCAATTGTGAATCTGGAAGTGCAAAATGATAGTTTGTAGGAATTTTTTTAATACTAACGTAAATCCAATCACAGTCAAAGTACAGCAAGCATTCCATAAGTAAATAGGAGCCATTCGTAGATATTTCAATATTTAAGATAGCCGTCTGCCGCGGTAATCATATTAAAAGGAGACGAAGACGCAGATCAATAGCATACAAATAAAATTAAATCGCTACGACAACAAACATGCATTTCCATGTCATATACATACATATATTCAGATCGTTTGCTTACTGAGTGCATAAAGCGTTTATAAAGCAACGCCTGCAGTTGCGTCAGCAGAAGGCGAGAGCCGCGTATGCGATCGTTAGACGTGAGATAGAGCGAGTTTGTCGAAGCTGAGTCCCACACCGGAGACGCCGACCCGTCCGAACCAGCAGATTCAAATTCCTGACTGATTTGAAAACCGGTAGGACAGTTCACGCTACTGTCGGAGCACAAGTTAAGGAAAGCGTCTTCGAGTGTAGTGCTCGTTACACGATAGCTGCTGAAACCGTGATAGCCTAGTAAAGTTGTCGTGTCAAGTTTTTCAAATAATCCTGCGAAATCATACACTATTCCCTGCTCTGAGCGATGCGGTAAGTTAATAACCATTTGATCAGCCTCGTCGCTAGCAATGAGGGCGCTGGGAACGAACTCTCGTATGTCATCAATGAGATCGACGGAGAAATTATTCGAAGTTAAACTGACGTCGCTAGCCGACAGGCCCGAATCCGAACCTCTGCCGGAATTTCGGTTAATGGCCAGCTGGTAGCCACAGCCGAAACGTGTCTTTAGTGTAATTGGCGACCCCTCACAGAGCAGATTGCCTCTGTGGATGATAGCCACTTGATCTGAAAGAATATCGGCCTCATCCATGTGGTGGGTTGTTAGAAGAATTGTTCGCCGCTTCCGGTACTTCAGTACGAGGTCCCAGATTTGTCTCCGGGCGACAGGATCAACGCTACTGGTGGGCTCGTCAAGAATGATTAGCTTCGACCCGCCAATAAATGACAAACCAACACAAAGTCTTCGTTGTAGGCCTCCGCTTAACTCGCATGATAACCGATTCTGCAAGTGCGTTAAATCCATCATATGAAGCATGGTCGAAACTTCACCTTCGATCTGTTCCTCTGAAGCGAAGCCGGAGCATTTTAGTCTAGCAAAGAACTGAAAGTGTTCTCTAATAGTTAGCTTGTCAAACAGTGTGTTGTATTGAGGACAATAGCCGATCAAGCGTCGAAGATCTCTCAGATTACGGCTATCAATTCCATAGGCCTGAACGCGCCCTCCCGTTGCACGACACTGGCCGGTTAGTACCTGTAATACGACAAAAATTCTTAAGTGACATGAAGACGGCCTCAAGTAAAAACTTTATGCTATTCTGCTTTCAAAACTAGAAATGCAACAATTGAATGCCTCGTTAAACGTACTCGAATCGTTGTCGTCTTTCCTGCACCGTTTTGGCCTAGCAACGAGGTAATTTCACCATCACGCAGGTTTAACGTAAGTCCATTGACGGCAGTGTTCCCAGAGTCAAAGCGAACGACAAGGTCTGAGATTGTTACACCGTCCGCCTTATTATCGATGTACATCGTGTCCCCTAGAACGAACATATGCATAAGAAATAACCAAAGCAATACTTGAACGTTGCTTCATAATGTTGTCGTCGAGTACAACTCCTGTACAGTGATTCAACATTAGCGATATTGGACTATCGGTAATATTTATCTACGCTAAGGGTCTTCGGTGCTTTCAGAAAGATGAAGCACTTTCAAATTCAAAAAATGCTATTTTGTTATAGCATGCTTACCTCCATCAGACTGGTCGCCAAAGAAGAATTCATACTGGAATATAAAGTACCATTTTTTTCGTAGAATAGGGTTACTACAAAAGACGTAACCGCAATACCAGCCGAATAGGGAGTAGATAATTGTACACAAATTTAGCATACCCAGAGCGTACCTGTAACATTTTGTTGTAGTACCTTTGTTAGAATGCTTTTGGCCTTGCATTTATATTGTCTTCTAAATGCTTGATCCTAAACGACTATCGTTTCCACAACATGAGTTATTTTTATCATACAAATGGTCCAAAGGTCACCAATCCTAAAAACATAAATATGATAAGGAAGATAAAGGTCTGGGGGAACGTACATGAAATGCATGTGATCTCCTGCTAAAGGGCTGGAAAATGCCGTCTTCCACGTGAGACCAAGTGTTTGTTGTTCGAACCTAGACGCAAATTATGGCCATTAGATTTAACACAACGTAACAAGCAAACCATTGTTTTGCTAGATCGAATCCGTGAAACTCGCTCATAGAAACGCTGTGTCGGATAACTTCAAGTTACCTGGTTATATAGAGAGAGCCGTAACAGAACGCCGAACTCATGGATATGCACAACAGCAACTTTGTTCCCAGTGGGAGTACTGATTCGGATGTTAACGTCACGATGAAAGGTATAAACGAAATCATATATAGTAAAGTGCCTGTAAGTGAGAATGTAGAAATAATGCATTAAAACGCCCCGTATAGGATGTCGTTCATATGCCCTATATGTATATACGTAACTGGGATTTCTGCACCGCGCTGTGAATCGATCGGCCTGGTCAAACACCATGTGGAATCAGAAGACCCCATATGTAACTTACCTGTGAGAGCAGCCAGGGTGGCATTACTCTGCAGTAGATTCGATATGAGGTAGCAGAAGCTCAATATAGACATGGCGAAAGCGAGGTAGAATATGAAAAGGAGCCAGAAATTTGAGTTGGGCAGTATGAAGGATACCAACAATGTCGTCACGAGAACTATGAAGAAAAATATTGATCCTGAAAGGAGAACCTGAAACACACGCACAAACACATACTCCTACCATTTTGATTTTACCTCGTATGCTTAGAATATTGCTGTTTAATTCTAACAGAGCTAACCATGTAATAGAATTTGGAAAATTCGATATAGAAAAACGTCCGAAGCTATCCTAAAATCAAGTACAGGTCCACTAGTGGAGAGGAAATTTAGTCTAGTTTACCAATGACAATTATCGTTAGTGGATTACTTGTTTTTTTAAAAATTATAATGAAATAATTTATAGAAAATGCTCACCCAGGCAGTCACATCCACCCACGGCTTCAAGCCCATTACAGCTAACACTTCCTGTAGGTGCTGCTCCCGGTCGAGTACCCGTTGACGGATTAAGAACGCCACAGAGAACAGCCATGACAATAGACATGCCATTGGTACGACTGATTTAAGCAAATGTCCAGTAGTGTCGTTTTCGTAGCACGGGTAGGGAAACTGTTGAACAAATAATGGCGGTAACAGTGGAACTTCTTCTGTTATTGTCGTCGTTGTATTTCGATGCTCTCGTCGAAGAACGGAGAGGATAGCCGAATCAATAATTTGCTGCATTTGAGAGAAGCCACGTTGATATCGCATGTCCTCGAAGAAATCGGCTTTTGCACCAGGCTTCCAAAAAAGGTCTTTGAGCCTATGTGTCAGTGGGACATTATCGATATCCATACGGATTTTGTAGCTGATCTCGTGAGGGAGCCGCGCTTCACTGTTGTCATCGACGAAACCGATCATTTCCCAAAAACCTCGCTTAGTTCGGCCAGCTGGTTTTAGTTTAGAGTTACCAAATGGCTCCTGAATGCGTTTCTTAATCTTTTCTTGAAAACCATCAAATACAACTGCCGCGATAAACTCCTTGCGGCGCGTCATTTGCGGCGCCAACACCTCCAGTTCAGCTTCTGTGTCAACTCCTTGGAAGCGGTCGAGTGTGAAGCAATAAGAAATTTTTGCCACAAGTTGCAACATGTCAACTAAACCACCGGCATCTCCAACCTGCGAAAATTAATTGCAAAGCAAAAATAAGTATTCAGTAGTATAACAAGAGGAAGTCAAGTCCATGCTTGCCGATGTCATCGATAATAATAATGATGGCCTAATAAATATGCACAATAGATTGTACAGCTATACAAGGACTATCTACCAATTCATGGGTATCAATCACTCAGCTTTAGATGTACACAAGTTATATAGGTCAAACCTCTTCTTCGACTCTTCGGAAGTCAAATGCTTCAGCAGTCATCCCGTCAGGTAGGATTTTCTTCATTATGGGTTCTAATACTGAAGAGAATAAAGCATCCTTCACATTGGTGATTGCGTCTTTTCGGCCCAATATCATCTTGAGACCATTTGACGCATCGCCCCACTCATATAAGCGATCACGAAAAGTTTCAATCTGAAATGAGAGCGATAATTTGGTACAGATTTGCACACAGATTGGCAGGCCCTAATAACGTTCCATATCTGATAGATTATCTTTGATATTCTCTATCTGAGTTGAATTACAGAACTTTTAGTGCGGACATGTTCTGTGTAAGTATTTCGGATTCAAACTTGGATTAAGTGTGGTTAATTTATCCAAAGAACGCACCGATTGAAATGTTTTGTTAACTTCGGAGACAATAAGTTTCGCTTCTTCCGTGTCAGGAGCATAAAGCAGTTTTCCTCGAAGGATTGGCTTGAGAAATCCCCAAATAATAGGGCCTCCCGTTAATCGCATAACCTGTTCATATCCAGTTCTGCAGAAACCATCTGGAAGCTCTTCGATGTCCATCTCATTAAGCTGTGGCTCCTTGTTCGAGGGCTGTAGAATTTTGAACTCCTGTTCCAAGGCGCGAAGAGGACGACCGCACACGAGCTTTCCTATAAGCTTCAACGCGACTGGATGGGCAAGAACCCGCACCCCATTAGAGGAGACGTTAAGATTCGCAAGACCCTTGATAGTCTCAATTCCAACGATGTCCTTAATGACTGCGAAGCGGGTCTCTGCATCGCGGATTACATCTGGGGCCGAAGTGAATGCCGAAAATATTGCGACTAAGTGATCCCAACCCAGATCGTTCTTCCGAAGGGCTTTCTCGAGAAGAACATCAACCACGTTTTTGAGCAACTTTTGTTGGGCAACTGTCACCAGCGGATTGGGTGGTATGCCTTTAAAGAAATATACATTCTCGCACTCTTAGGATCAAGTATGTTTTGGAAATGTAAGAACTTTGGCTCGCAGAATGTAGTGTTATGTTCAGCAAAATATCATGGTAAATGATCGTTCGGCCTTTACGACCTAAAACATATGGTTTGCTTTTTGCATGTAGCGACCAGAATGATGTTGCCAAATTCAAGTGGTGTTAAAAAGAATCTCAACTGGTCTGTTAATGACTTGACCTTATATAACACGTACATACATATATATATATATATATATTACACTCTATAATATAAAGTAGGCACCAGTGTCTAACCTAGTTTATCAACAGCTTGTTTTAGTACTTTCGAATATTTATCAAACACCGTCGACGTGGGTGACATGCCAAATGCCCTCTTGAGTAGCGTGAGATCGCTGACAACGTTAACGAACGTTAGTTTACGGGTATGCAGATCAACAAGAAAGCTTGAAATGTCAAACTTCATCCCTAAAATGAAATCGACAAAGTAGGCGCTAGTACCGAGCGCGTCCATAATTGCTTTTTTAGCTGACTCAGGATCGTTTAGAACCTCGGACACTTTGAAGCGGACATCGAAAAGTCCTGTCGATGCCATTTGAGCGATAGCGCCCATAGCCCGGCGAAGCGCGTGCACAAGTGCATCTGTCTCACTTCCGCCGAACGCCTCATTAACTGGACCTTCTAGGTGTTCGAACGCTTGATACAGCTCCTCAAGCTCCCTTTCCTTGAGGGAAACCAGGAGTGCAGTGGCAGTGTCCAGACTAAGCGGTTCCTCAGCAAGCTGAATGAATGGCAGTGCGTACCGAGCAATGCTTTCTATCGCGGCCATAATCTGGGGTCGCAGCAATGGACGAAGCCAGGTTCCGGAGAAAAGGCTTTTGTTCTGCGACACAGGCATCTAAAACAAATCGCATCATGATAGAATATACTAGAAAATTAAACACAGAATATATTTACTATGTCTAAGGAGTTGTATTGTATTAAATGAATGATTCAAGTATACGCGTCTTAGCAGACAGATGAGTATACCTCTGAATGTAGTCTGTGGAAATCTATGGCGTCGATAAATTTGTGCACGAAATGATCATTGCAGAAGCTCCTGTGAATGAAAATTCGTTGAATTAGCTCATCCGTGGAGTTTGTTTTAAAAAAAACGTGATTATAGTGATGATTCGCTCTTTACAACCAAATCAGTATCTGAGCTACTGTTACACAAAAAACTGATACTGATAAATTGAAACGCAAAAACCATCCTCACGACTGGCAGTTACGGTCCACTTTTTCCACTTCTCCATTTACGAAACGTCATCAGTCTTCACGCCTGTGGCCTTTATAGAAGCTAGACTTTGACGTGTCTACTATATCTGGTTGCTTACATCGTTTGTTGTATAATGTGCCGTCAAATCTAATTATTTTGTATGACCAACTCACTTCGGATATACTTCTTCGGGAAATAGGATGAATGCGCTTTTCGAGTTTCTACAAAATAGACGCTTTATACGAGATGGTGACCGATGATGTGACAACTGGAAAATACGTTGAAAAATTCAAACTTATGCTTTAACTATTTTTAACTTAATCAAAATGAGCAACAAATACCCAATACAAAAATATTTTAAAGTACGTCGGAACGCAAAAATAAAATAAGAGTGGATTTATTTTTACAGTTCGTCATAAAAGAGGTGCGTTATAAAAAAAACCATAATTTGAACTCGTATCACCTTAAGCATCTGTTCAAGGCTCTTGATGCCACTAATAACCTATTAATGAGTATAACTAATTATAGTGGCATACCCATCGAAAATTAATGACGATCTCCTTTGTACGGTCATCAGCAGTAAACTGTTCCAGAAGACTGCGGTCCTTGACGATGTTCTCAAAGCGTGCAATGTAAGGAAGTTGGCTGGCCAGAGCATCAAGCGACATACCTGTTTTCAAGGTTTTCTGGAGCCTAAAAAACAAACATGGAACGATTAGACGCGTTGATACTTATCGACACTATAGCTACAATATTCTCATGCGAGCCCATGTTCCTATGTGGTTAGCCGTGAATTTCTTCTATAGAACACAGTTCTTATTTCACGAACAGATAATGTTTAATGTTACGTACTAGAGAATCTGTTGTTAAGGGCAATTAGCGACTTATTCGCACAGACATGGGCAAAATTTTGTTGGGCTATACAGTTTCTACGCATATAAATTTGGTAAAAATAAAAAAAAAACTAATTAGCATGAGCGTTTACTACCAGAATCATCACGTACTTGGAAAATTTCGACGCGAGCTTGCTTAAGTGAGACGTCGTGCGTGCTATATGGACCGCCTCTTTAGTGGTTTGAGAGTAACGTAAATCTGTCGCGCACTTGAAGATAAGCTCAGCTTGCGTTGTACTCACACGGGACCAACTCGCCAGCTGAAATCAGTAGCCAACCGAAGAACAGAATAAACATTAAGCTCGAGGTACTCACTGGTGTCACCGTGTTAGGACTGGGAAGACTATGTCTTGCCAATTGGGATCCCATACAATTCATTCAATCTGTTGTGACTTATCATCAAGTTTGGTTATAGACACTGCGAGTAGCCCAGAGGCATTATGAAACTCTTGCTAATACACAGACCGGCTGACTAGACACGTTATAAAAGAAACACTTTTACCTCAATCCAGAGTTTTGGTAGACAAATATCCCTCCGTTTGGTAGCATTTGCGGCTATTACGGGAAGCACAACGTTCATCAAATGACGATAAGCTTCCTGTAAACCGGTCCGTGGTATCGCACATACCATCTTTACTGGCGACTCCAATCGGTCCAGCATTTCTCCTATAGAACCGTTTTCCGCACAAGCTGTAGTTGGATATCTGAAGAGCGTTGTAATAGCAATCAATATATTATGGTTATATCTCACAACGTTGTTATTTTTGGTGCTTGCGGTAAGGAAAACACCTAGTAGATATAGTATAAGAAATAAGCTTCTTATAAAATTTAAGATGTTATAGAGACTTGGCCAGGATCGCCAATACGTTAAAAAAAATTTACGTGGCAAGTTTCTGCTGTAAGGCTAGATACATACATAGCTTTAGCGAGTAGATCCTGGCTATTCCAAAAATTCAGTAGAATTGTTTCAGACTTGTGCGAACCGGCCCAAATGGGGACGAGATTTCTGATCAAGAACTTGATCAGAGGCCGACTATCAGAAACGGGTAACTGTGAAAAGTTCGCCGAAGCGGAGGCAAAATCGTCGATAAAAAATTTGGTCACATTTGTCGATGGCAGAGCTTCGATTATCTGGTTGAGCATAGAGGCGAAATCAATCAGACCCGAAAACTTCGTTGGAAGCGGCGTCCACCACAATGAAGACATTATCACACGTCCCAGCCTAGAAACATTACGAAAAAATGTTTGTTAACCTGAACACGAATTGCAACGCGAAATGTTTGTAGCTAGTACGCCGATAATTACCAAATGAAGTCACGACTTAGAACTAATAAGAGTGCAAGTAATACCCTAACTTATAGCAGGACTCAACCTATCATAAAAATTTACACCAAGAAACAATTTGGTTCAGCACAAACTAGAGCATACAAGTGCCTAAGGCCATTCATTTAAACAAGCCTACCCATGGAGAATCCTATTTTGGTATTTAGTTGCCTCATGTTCGAAAGCATCCATTAAATTCAGAGCGGCTGTTTTGTCGATTCTGTGGAGTAGGGCAAACAGGTTCTTTGCAGCCTCCTCCGTGGTCATCTCGGGAACATCCGCTATCGTTGTATTTCGGGTCAGTAAGTGGCGTACAATGGCTTGCGTTTCGTTGTGGCATGCCAGCCTTGTAACCTCAGTACTTGGTATCGCGCAGTGGTAACTGAACGTTTCATTCAGTGAACTGAACGAAAAGTCGAAAATGCCCTTTTGGGCCGAAGCAACAAACCACATGGCTGCTTCGAGAGCTGTTCGACCCGTAGCGGACTTAAGTATTTCAAAAAGACGACGATACTCCATTGAAAGGTCTGTGCTGTTGACCGTTTTCTTTGAGAGCTTCGCAAATAACAAAAAAAAAATGCAAATTAACAAACACATGTTAGTATGATAAAAAACTTGTCGTTTTCATTTCCTAGAATTTGTCTGCCAGTGTTTGTAGCGATGCGAAAAGTCCATTGAATCCAATGAGGTTTGCAAAAAACAACCTGTACTCACAGTTTGCTTTGCCCAAGAGCCAGCAGCTGTGATTATTGTCTTTAGCTCACTGTCGATTATAGGATACGGCTTGAGAACTTTGTCTAGAAGGTAAAACCACGAAGATAGATCTTCAAGATCTTGGTCGAGCAGGCCATTTCTAAACAGGTTTCCGAGACCAAGGACAACATCTGCCCAACTGGTAAGCGAAAATGAACTGGACTGTACTGAGTAGCCGCCGGAGTTGCTCAGCTGACGAACAGCATTTGTTACGACGTCAAGAAGTTTCGGTGCGGGCGTGACAGTCTGTAAGGTTAACAGTTTCGAAAATGTATAATTACGTTTATGTATTATCGGCCCTGTGTTTAATTTCATCTGCAGAAGTGATACAACATGACAACGGGAGGCGCCTTACCTCACAGGGTAGGAACTCCTCGGCGATTTCCTCACTGCTGACGCAAACCACATTTTTCAAATTAGCTAAACTGGAGGGAAATATACCGAGGAGAGAACTGAGGCGATTAAAAGTCTCGTTTCCTTGACAAAAGCCGCCTTTGCTGATCCATGTGTTTATTAACGGTACCACCTTCTTCATTTTGGAAGGCTGCATGAAAACCGCCAGGCTGTCACCGGCGATGCTAGCTGAGTCCTTCAATAAAGTCCAAATGGAACTTCTAAAGCTCCCTTTTTGTACACGTAGCGCACGTTCGACGGAGCAATTATATGAGGCGAGAGCCATAGTGTTTGGTGATATACCGATCGCAGATATTAAGGAAGAGAGCGATTTTGCAATGAGATCATCGATAGACGAGGCCTTCGAGGCATCCGCTTGAGAAGCGAGAGCATTAATCGATGTAACAGCTTTGAACAGTTGACTATACGCCTGAAAAGAAATTTCATATCTGAATTAATATGGTGAACTATGCTGTCGATGGGTGTCGAATTTAATGTACAAATCTTATACACCCACATAATAACAATATCAGGAAGACGAGAGTAAGTTGTGATGTTAAGACTGAATCGCTAAGGTACTAACCTGTCTCGAGCTAAGTAGACTTAGATATGTAGCACTTTCGTCGAGCAGACGACGTACCACAACTTCAAAGGGGACGATGTCCTCCGTAGTTGCTGTTGATGTACCCAGAATTTCACAGAGTTCACTGAATGCCTCCATTGTTCTGGCCTGCATGTCTCGATTGTCTGGTAATTTAAGAATTTTAGCTACTGGCATTTCACAGATACCTGATGCTCCGGTATTAAATAGTGCCTTAACTTTTTCAGAGTCATCTAAGGTGTCGATTAAGGAGCCGGCAAAAATTGGTAAATTTTTCTCTGCCCATTGTACTAAACTAGCAGAGTTATGAAAAGCTGTAGGGGGATCTGCATTCAGTTCGGTTAGCTCTCTCGTGAGACGCAAAGCAAACGGAATTATGGCACTTTTGGGAGTCACGGCTTTTAAAAGGAACTCTAATGGTCGAAGTCTAAGACGAAACAGTTCCGTTTCTGTAGCAGGAGCTGCGAAAAGGACCCGTAGTCCTGATGCAAACTGCAAGGAGAATAAGCACAGATAAAAAGAATACCATTATTTTTTTGTATAGGCATCCTCTTGTTTACTAATAAAAAATCTACGCATTTAATATAGACACTCAACTAGGATGAATAACTTACCGCCTCTGAATATAATTTCATAGATATACGTGATATTGAATTAATAAATTTCAATTATTTTTCATTTAAAAAACCTTGGCTGAACTGGCAGGAGAACTTCCAACCTCATCAACTTAGTCGATCCCTCATAAAACCTGAAAATGTAGGCTGATACTCACTTTTCTAACGGGCTTCAGACCACTTAATAGGACTTCCGCGTTTAATTTGACGCTTTCCAACAGTGTGGTTTTAAGTTCGACAACATTATCAGCGAGCTCTTTCCAAGAGACGGGGCTATCGGTAACATTACTTGGTGTCACGCCACTAAAGACGGCGAAAATATCCTTGGTGGGGCCAGAGCTCGATATTTCTGGAAGAATCTGGTGAACTGCTGCGCAGAACCTTTTTTCTAAATCACCGAAGCCAGCTGTATCTTCCAGAAGGTATCTCGATAGGGGTCTTTCAGTGGAACAAAAGTGTGCAGACTCAGACAGAACTGTTGGGTTGACGCCCCGATTTAGAAGGTTGTCTATTGTTTCTAAAATGACATCTATATTGTCAGTAATTAGATTGACGGCTCTCTGGAGAGAGACCACCCCGAACGTCGACGAAAGTGATACCTCGCCTTTGATGGATATCTCACTGATATGTCGGTTTAGTATGGTGACCAGCGAAGAAGCTGCGCCAATTACTCGATCGACGTAGTCAAGATTGTCAACATGTATCTGTTTGAGGAAGTCATTAATTAACTGTAGAACGGCTGCCACCACATTAATCCTGCCAGATTCGTCTCGGTCCTGCCAAGTTTGAAAGGTAAAAGCACTTATAGCGCTATCCAGCTTTGCACGGAGATCGAATGGAGCCGCTTTGAAAAGCGCGTGAACAAGTAAAGATACGCCTTCGATAGCGTCCTGCGCCTGTGTTTCGGTGGCCTTTTGGTACGGCGCTCGAACAGCACCAGTCAGTTTGTCGATTACACCAGGAACAACCTGCAAGACTTAGTCCGATTAGGATGTTTGCCTTTACGATCAAGCAATGCGCGTGGTCTAAGGTTACCGTTGTAAAGACTCAAGTTGTAAGCGTAAAATGTGAAGGACAAATTGCTAGCAAACCGGTTATTAGCAGCCCTGCGATAGCTTAATAGATTATGTAAAAAATTGTAGAGGGGTAATGATTATATTTTTTAATAAAAACGCGTTGAATGCAATTACCTCTTTAAGTAAAACGCAGGCATACTTTGACATTTCACTGGCCTCGCCGGAATGCGAAATAAAGTCACCGAATACGTCGGGGTCACATATATCTCTGTCAATATTAAGGACTGCCCCATGGCGGCGCTCCAGGAGCACTGCAAGTCTCTTCGGATCACTGAGAGTTAATGTTGCTGCTTCAACGAGACGAAGAAAATATGGAAACGTATGCGACTTTGATACCGCTGCAGCCTCTGCGTGAATCCAATGAGTCACAATGTTGACCCAGTCAGCGTCTAAATCCAAGCTATGCGCTATATCAGCTACGTTTCCCGACAGAACAGTGAAGACCTTACTGACTGCTCCCTTAGATGAAGAAACAGCCTAAAAAAACCAAATTGTCGGGTTAATGATTTAGGCTTTATTGTTCAATATAAATGTATTATAGTGCCAACTCTTAAATGATTAAGTTAGGTCATAATTCGGTCTAGAGAGTCAGCAATATTAGCGCATCTAGGAATGACCTAACAACACAGTATTTCTGTCAAATATGCTATCGTGTAACGCGATGGTCTGGGTAGCTAATGCATATCTGTTCGAGTGTGTCGTGATGGCAGCCGTGAATAAAAGGTCGTAGATGGTTCAGATTTCAGCGTTGATAAATTGTTATTTTAAATTAAAAAATTAAAAGCCATTTTTTAGGTCTATCGTAGAAACTCTAGACGAATCCGGCAAAACCCACCTCGGCTAAACATTTACCTTTGGTGCTATACCGAAGAGGCAATTCTGAAAATTTGTTGACATAGTAGTAATAGCTGAGCGCATTGAAAATAAATTAAAAATAATATTATTAAGAAATTACTTCAGTGTAATAACAAGGCTCTCTAAAGCGAGTTTACATCTTGCCATTAGAAAGATAAAAGTCTTATAACAAACCTTCATGACTTTATCTAATGAAATCACAAATGCTTGCAGTTCCGTGTCATTGTACACTGATGACGGCTCTGTCCAGAAACTCTTTGCTAATGTATCGGCAATTAAGTTGATATCCATGAACATTTGGGGGAATATAGTCCGACCCCAATCTCGAAAAACTTCACGAAGAAACGCCATGTTCGCCTTGTTTGATAAATGAGCCAGCACCTAAAATGAGGTAAGAAGTCGTCGTGAATACGTTCGCTAAAGTATACAGATCCTAGCATCAGCTAATGGCATTAGACCTCTACTAAAACTGTTATAATTAGAACATCTCAGTTGTAAACAGACTACATGATTCCAAGCATATGCGATACCCTTAATGTACTTGGGATCAACTTACGTCGGCAGAATGACGAACAACTTCCGACCAGTGATTTCCTGATCCAAAGTTTAACCGCGCTGCGAGTTTCACGAGATCAGTCAGTTCAGCCACTTGCATAGCCATTTGTGGTTGGTCCAAAGCTTCTGCTGTACCTGATATAAGCCGAATCACTTCCTCGACCTTCAATACCTGCTGCAGACCTTCCTTGAAGTCGTCACTAAAAGGACAAAGATTGGCGAGCTCTCTTGCAACACGAGGATCGGATGAGATGATAATGCCTATAAAACAATCAAACTCTATAGGGTTAACATTTTGTTCGCGTAAGCTGCTTAGTCCTTTGAGGGAAATTTGAGCTTCACAGATTCCAACAACTGTTTAAGGCTTGTACTTCACGTCGCCTCCTGAAATCTCTACCCTTTTAGGACCTCAACGTACGAAATTTCCAATTGGGCGCGGAAAGGCATACACGTTAATATCAGTCCGACATGACATAGTACTCACTTTTGATGAGTGGCTCGTCACAGGCAGCATGCTTAGTGATGAGTCCGTACACAAGTGACGGTAGACTAAGTCGAGATGCAAGTAGGCTATTAATGACGTCCAGGGGCATTCGGGCCTCGACAAACACAGCGCGTACCTCATCAGAATCCGTCGCAAGATTATGTACAGGAATTCCCGTAACTATCAGGACGTGCACAACAAATTACGTCTTACTTGGTTTTACTTGTCATGGCGGTAAAGTTGCATAAATCTTAGAGCTATACCAAAATTATTTTGTTACCACTAGATGTAATAATAATCCTAATTATAATAACAATAATATTATTATTAGTATAATCAAATAGTTGAATTAGTCCGGATTATATACTGAAATATTTTACTGATACTGAAAGAATCTTGTAGCCCTAATCACTCACTCTATTACATGTAGTACATCTTTGTCAAAATGCGTAGTTTGTCAGGTCAAAAACAAAAAATAATGTATAAGGATCTTTATGAAATTATTGTTACCGAAAAAAATCAAATATTTTTTACCCAGGAGTTGCTTGACAGTGTCGTGGGAAAGCAAGTTGCCGATTGCATCCAGAAGACGCGCGGACGTTGGAAGCTCTCTGGCTAGACCGAGCAGCCGCTCGTTATTAAACAGTGGAGATACAGTCCCAACTAACGAATCCAGCCTGCAAAAAACGTATGTCTTTTTATTGATATTCGGATCACCTATTTCTCTTAATTTAGCCTATTAGGCCGGCCTGCAAGACCTAAAATCGGATTATATGGCGGTGGAAAAAAGATTTGGTTCTACAATTCAAAACGCTTATAGATAGCAATCGCAAAAAATAAATAAACTCATACCAACAGTACTAGTTAATATATTTAACGAATTTCGCGAACAGCTAGGTAGAGCATATAAACGACCTTGAGTGGATCAAGCTCGCATTGTTTTATCAAACGTTTATCCTTTCTCTCAATCCACTAATGAATACATAATCAGAGGTTCAATTTCATTAGTGGATTACTTCTGTTGTTTTTCTGAGGGGACCTTTTGAATATCCAGAAAAAACATATGAGTAACTTTATACGCACTTTTCCCCAAAAGGTTGGTCTGATGCTCAAGTACAAGAGTTCGAATGAAGTTTTACGTTAATTCTACCTAATTAATACAAGTTAAGACGAACTTATTAGGCCTCTAGATACAGTATTCTATTTGTTTCTTTGATAATGTCAGTTAGGATTTGAGTGAGCTTACTTGGATCCTGGGTAGGTCGGTATATCCTCATATTGCGTCCGGTTAAGGCACTGATTGTCGATATTACATATAAGTCCTGGAATTTGTTAAGGGTTAGTTGAGAGGCGTTCCTTGAATCGAAGATGCTCCTCAATTTATAAATAGTATAAATGGGAATATAAGCAACGAAAGCTATTCTCGGGCGTCACATATAACAGAAGTAATTAATCGAAAACCGGTCACGGTGAACACGCATTATACTATGCTTTTTATTAGTATCGAATGGTCGATGTGAGAAACACTCAAACAGTAATTTTCGAATAGGGGCTTATTTTAGTAATGAACGAAAGAAGTTTACAAGCTCAGGCATAATTTGTTTAGGCGGAAAATGCTTCGTAATATTGCCGAAAAATCAGATAACCATACCTTGTAAAAGTGGTAGACCCCCGGCCGAGGGAAGGGCACGGGCATTGTAGTAACACGCAGTCTGGTGGTGCGCGGGCAACAATATCCGGAGGCCCACCAAGAGGCCGAAGATAGTTATTGGCCATAGCACCTCTAGGCTCAAAATTATCTGAAAATGTAAAAATTCATTTTATTTATTACATTGCTTATCCCAAGCCTTTTCGTATCATTCAGTATACAATAAGCCATCCTTCGCCAACTACTGTGCTGAAAATAAAAAAGGGAATCTTGTATATATAAAGTATTAGACTCGTACCGGCTAAGGTAAGTATAAAAAAATTCGATTTGAAAATTCATTACCAAAGCTAATAGCTCCTCACAGTTTGTTCTGTCTAATCACATCTATTTTGCAGTACATATATATATATATATATATATATATATATAGTTTCAATAGTATTTCATAAACCTTTGGGTTTCATAAACCCAAGGTTTTAAACGCGTTGCCTAATCCATGTAAGAACAATGTTTAACTACTGTGTAAGGGACTGCGCGGGCATTTGTTAAAGAACTTTGGAAGAAAAATTTAGTTTTTTACATCGCAAAACCTACTTGGATCTAATAGACACGTAATGTAAAACAACATGCTTCTTATGACGAACCTGCTTTATGTACTTTACTTCTTACACTAGTCTATGACACTAGGGTTCGAGAGGTATATATCGTACTGTTTACGAATGCATTGTAAAGAGGCCCCTTTCAAAGGTACTTACCGGTCTCCGTCTACGTAACAACAGATTTTTCCAAATGACCAGCCGGAGCTGTTCTCCTGAGCCCGATGTCATCCTGAGCAATCAGGATTTGAATGTTTCGTCACCGATTTTGCATTACTGTGCCTATAAAAACAAATAATACGCGTAATCACACGTTCGAAGCACTAGTCAGCCTACGTTATAGTGACCCGTCTAAAAACACGGTTTAGTTATTATCAGGTAATTGTCTGTTAGTTTTACAAGCACTCGTAGAATTCCAGTGACGTAATTTTACGCCATTTATCTCTAGATTTTGCACAAAACAGCGCTTGCAGGTAACGCGATTATCTGTTGTATATGCCACAGACGCTCGAAGGCTATTCTCATAGGTGCCTTCAGATTAACTGCGTACAGGACACGCACGTTTCCTGTTTCCAAACACGGGTCCTACTAACGAGACGAAATGAATACCAGGTGTCCGAATGAAATCTACAAGATTTCTAACTTAATTTATTAAAAATTTAGGTATCAAATAGAACTAAAAAGTAGATTATGCGTAGCGAAAAGCAATTTTGACTCTTACAGCGTGCCGAAATTATCTATACAAAGTGTATCGTTGAGAAGCTTCTGCTCTTCGGCACAAAGCTATAAGCTCTTCTGTGCAAAAACAGTAAAAAAATAGTATAATCTTTCTCGTATAAATATTAATGAATAGGCCTAAGCTAAAAGGCAACAGCTCCGTTGACAGTGTCAAAAATGTTATCGTTATCAATATTACTGCTTTCGATTCGCGTGAGTAGATTGAATTAACACTGTCCATTTGTTTTGGCCCACCGTTCGCAGGCCAAAGCCGATACGTCTAAAAATATAACGAAATGTTTGCTTTTTGACGCAGAGGTTGATTCCCGGAAAAGAAACTGGGAATATTCAATTGGGATCACTTAATACTGTGTTTAAGGTGTCGAAGTGGATTTTAGCTACAGCACGTACTTTACTAGGTTTTCCTTTGTGGACCTATCGCTTATGTAAGCAATGCGCGCGGCTACATAAAGGAATCGCAACGGTGAGAAACATATTTACTTTTCAATCTTAGTTTATTTATGGACAATAGATACATGTACTTTTCTACGACCGTAAAATTCGACAAGCCACGCGACACTCAGACTAAGTAGGCATTTCAGCTTTCAAGTAACATGAAATGCCTTGGAAGATTCCGTTGTCACCAAAGAATACCGATCTTCTGAGTATTTTCTCTGACATTCATATAGTTAGTATTACGGTAACGGTAACCTACATGTAGAATTAGCTGTGGTGCCAAATAATGCTGAATGTTAACACGAGCAGAAAATGTCATTCTAGCTTCAAATAGGATGCTGTCACATTTGTTTCGGAAACGAGTGATTCATACTGTACATATTTGCTTCTGTTAAGAGCCGAGACTCTTGCCGGTCTAGGTGCACTAGTTAGGGTATCATCATTACCCTAACTGTTTGGAGATTATTTTAGATGGCCAGTGAGAAGCCAAAATGGTGGAATAAACATTGATGCAAAGAATATGCGGATCCGCTCCGGTCAGACCTTGCAAATAACACAGCAGTGGGACGCAGTCATACGCAGTATTAGAATACGTCACGGAGGTTACATGTTGTACGTCTTTAAGACTTCCCGCGAAACTAGTGGGTTGTATAAACGAAAATTTGATATGACCGCCTTCCTATATGGCCGCCTCGTGTAATCGAGCAAAAGTTTCCCGCTCTTTTTTCGCTGAAGCAGACCGTTCTAGTAGCAGTCATTAGCGCTATCATTTTATGTTTATTCATGATGTAGAAATGGTAAAACGTTTAAGAAGCAGAAATCACGTGGAAGGCACAGATGTTATCCTCATTGCCTCTAGTGCTACTTGATTTTATCCTGTACCACAAGCCATTACGCTGCTCGCACAGCCGACACGGCACGTTAGTGTGCATCGAGCTAATGAACCCGCGTGTGGCGAATCGCGGCGCAGCATAGGTATCATTCCGTGGCCTTGGACGGAGACAATGGCCCCTCCTCGGAGCGCCTGTGCGTTCAGAAACAACGACAAAAAGCCGGATACACGGGAAGTTTCCGGCCCCTCAGCCAAGCAAGAAACAGCTAACAGGCCAGCATGAAGAAGACTGGCTCGTCAGTGAACGCACGAACTGCACTTCAGTAGCGTCTTCAACTTGAGTGCAACAACAACACTTTTGTTAACGACCGCTTGGCGAAGGCATTTGGTAACGACTCGGTCGCGTGGTTCAGCTTCTGCAGCATTGCTTAACGCTTCTTACTTGTTCAGAGAATCCTCTAAACGCGATTTATGTGGTCGCCAAAGACCATTGTTATCACTCTAGCTATCAATGTTGTCTAGTAATACTGGCTTAAAGTTGGCATAACGATTTTCTATAGCATTGCGAAACGGGAATTGATTCCACCCTTAAAAAAAACCTTCGAATACTGTCGTTGCATGGCTCGTATCTGTGACAGGAACTTTCTAGCTTCAACTTACGAACGCTCCAGCAGCGGCCAACCAGCGACGATAGACCCCGTGAAACAAGCGAATGCTCACATAGCAGCATTAATGAGAGTGCAGAAAAGTTCGCGGGACCAAACAAAGGCATGGTTATCATTTATTTTTTTTCAGTTTGAGTAGAATGACGCTTGTCAGTTTTGTAAAGAGCCTAGAGCGTTACATCCCGTCGAACTGAATCGTAGACTGTCGCGCCTGTAGGATATACGTGATAATATTTGGTTTCCCAGACCTTCAAATCATAAATACGAACGTTGATTACGCTGGAAAGCATTATATAAATGCATGGGAGAAAAAGTGCAACATCTATATTCAGTAAGCACTCGAACATCGGATCAAGACAAGGGTTTTTAGATCCGTCGACATAGATATCAAGGTACAACTATATATAGCCATCTTTCCACGTAAACATTGCTAATGTCTTTGCGAATGTGACCGTTAATACCTGTGCCATCTTTAATCAGCTAAGCGAACCTTACAAGGTCGTAATAGTGGTTATAAATAAATTGCAGAATCTGCCTGTTGCTCAAACTACCTCTCAGGCAAATATAGAAAAGTCTACATTGCTTCTGCGAAGTATTTTTTTCGAAAAAAAAAATACTGTGTTCTTATCATTAGCGACGAGGGAAATAGATGGTGGCCGTTGAGTGGTAGTTCTATTTAGGAATATATGTGCGCAGACTTAAACCCATCAGGAATATGGCGTCCTTCTACAGAGCTCGGGTGCCGTGCCGTTCTATATGACAAATGCAAACAGTTATTGGCAGTAATATTTCATATAGATAATTCAATCGTGGGTCATTGTTTCATCTCAAATGAGCACCGATCACTTTTTTATAATGGAAAAAAAATCACAAAAATATTTCTTTAAGAAAGTGCCGTTGTCAAGAGGCCATATCCTGTTTCGGGTTCTTATCCTTGTTTTTGAATATGCATTGTTAATTGATAAGAAAGATTGTGTTTGTTGCTTCACGTGTTAGTCATGGATTTTGACACTTTTTCGGTCGCAATTCAAGTGAATTAAATGCCTTTTGTATTTGCCCTGTCTATGAGATTGTACCACATCAGTGTTCTTAAATGTAGAACTTTATCCGATGACATGATAAGCACTGTGCGAGCTAGGAATTGCCCTGACAAACCTTGCGAAGCTTCTCCTAACCTCTCGATTGATCCTAGCAAAGGTTCTCTCGTGCATATGCATGCGACCGGGGATTTTACTTCATGCTACTATATTGCTGGTTTTTTTTTTGCATGATACCTGTTTGAGCGTGCACGAGACTACGTACCACAGAAGATCACCCCCTTATAAAAGAAATCAACCAAATTGTCCAGTGAACGACAAAATGCACCCTTTATAGATCTCTCAATTTTTGCTACTATTTTTACTAATTTCTTCACTGTTATTCGACTTGGCTTTTGAACCATTCTCACTGACGTCAGTAGCGTACAAGATAGCATTGGCAAAAAACATGTTTTGTTTCATCTTAAAATTACAAAATTGCTATTCCCAATGAACTTTCCATTTCGTAACGATAAGACACCGATCGGTCATGCTGCTATAGCCTGATGCTATCTCGAATTATCGGTCTAACATCACAATATCACTGTTACTCACCTAGAGGTTATAACAATGACAGCACCCCACTCCACCAGCAGATCGAATCGTTGACCCGACACAAATCTACTTGATCTAAAGGTCTCAGACGTTGGGCATCAAACACTGTCGTAATCTCAACCACCTGAATCAGCTGCTATAGAGAATCTCCAGCATGTCTTGCGGAATGAGTGCGTGCGCGAAACGTGCACCCGACGTTTCGTGGTTCGTACGAATGAGCTCTTTAGAAACATTGTCCATCTTTTAGGTGTAGCGCTTATGAACACATGTCAGTAATAGTAAGCTGGAAAATTGATTCGTTCTCAGTCGAGGAAATATTCAAACATGGATGAAACTCAGCCCCAACCGAAGTCCAGTGGTTCAGCTGTAAGTAGGATTGACTTAAAATTTTCCTAGGTCAAACTCCCCTCTGAATTCAGCAAACGATAGTGAGCTAATAGTAGTTGTGGGAATACTAATGACCTGAGTGGCTGACGCTGAACTACCACAAGCTATTCCATGTGTTCAGCCAGAAAACTTGGAGGTACCGTAAGCAAGGGAAACATACCTCAATTGGAACGATAAACGCTATCTCTGCTAGCAAACTTTTAGACTACTGCTGGGGTGTTTATCACGCCAATGGCTGTAAAAAATCTTTATATCCACGCATAAATAGAGCTTCCGTTTCAACTGTAGTGGATTCCCTGCAATGCAACAAGTATACGTCTCATATGATCATCACGTAATAGCATCGGTAGAAGAGGCTCTAGATTGAGGACGCTACAATTTCCCTGTGCTAGGCAGCACTAGACGAAGCGTGTTCAAATCGATTCAACAATGGAACAGTGAGCGATGTCTACATAATCTAGATAAAGGTCTTGCATTTGCGCATAGACCGGCAATGCATTGCACTTGTGGACGCCAAACCTGTTAGTCGTAGTGCTGTATTCGGAGGCCAAGCAAAGGCACGATTCGATATGCTGCTAGCAAAAAAAAAAGCCA